TGTGTGGTGTGTGTGTGAGGGGGGTGTCTGTGTTTGTGGTGTGTGTGTGAGGGGGGTGTCTGTGTGTGTGGTGTGTGTGTGAGGGGGGTGTCTGTGTTTGTGGTGTGTGTGTGAGGGGGGTGTCTGTGTGTGTGGTGTGTGTGTGAGGGGGGTGTCTGTGTGTGTGGTGTGTGTGTGAGGGGGGTGTCTGTGTGTTTTTCTGAGATATCGCTCTTTTCAATGTTGCAAAACACGGTTTCTCAGTTTTTGGTAAAACTTACATCATTGTAGTTCGACGAATCAACAAAGCATGTGGTTACAGTATCCTGGGACCGTTACTGTTTTCTGAACACGTAGAGGGTTGAAATCCAGAAGACAGTTTTATTGTTAATTCACCACACTGCAGTAGAACGGGCCAGTGAAATGAAAACAAATGTCTTTTTCTTTTTTTTTTTTAAATCCCAAAGATCCCTTTCTTTTGACGTTGATCTTCCATGAGAACCTTCCCACCCCCTCAACCCCCCAGCTGGATTTCAGCACCTTCCCTCCCTGTCTTGGGATGAGATCATGCCTCCCAAAAGTGACTTGGGGCAAAAGACAATCCTGCTGCAAACCCAGGGCCCTGGGGCTTTAATGGAGGGATTATGTCACTGCGATTCACAGCAGGGAAGAGCAGGTCACTCAATGCCACCGGCCACGGACCCGTGCTGGAGGGTAGACAGTGGCTACTAAGTTAATGTTTACACGTTTTCAATGTTCATCATAATTAGGATGATAATGTTTCATATGGAGATGTGCTGTTTAGCAATGCAAACAAAATCTAAGTTCAATGTTTGAAAAATGCAACTTGGGAAAATGGGAATACAGAGAGACAAGTCAGTACGTTTTTTTAACGAATAAGAACAGCCTGCTGCCTTTTGGGATAATAAAAGTCTGCGTTGGTGTTTTGAAATCTTATCTCCCAGTGAGTTTCAATAAAGCCCCCCCCCCCAAGCCCTTTTCTGGAGACGTGTTGGAGGCTGTTGGGCACCTGATTACTTATTGGCTTTCAGTCATTTAAGCAGGTGTGGAGTGACCTGCTTCCCTGTTTGTATGGGATTTTAATGAGGTCAGTATGGCCCCGGTGATGAGAGAATAGACCAGCACCTACTCCTAGCACATCTGGTCCAGGTTCCTTTGCATGCAGAGTATCTTCATTGTGGACTTGGTGCTCGTTGGTCCCCCTGATAGGCACCCCAGTCTGCTTGTGCATTACTCACACATGCTCAGTGGCCATTTTATTCGGTACACCTTCTTGTTAAGTACAAACATCCCACACCTCTAAGCAGTGAACAACGCACTTGAAACAGAATAGATACAGAATCTCACAAGAGGTTCACTATCCGCTCAACTCCACAATGGAGCAGCTAAGATCTGATCTGAGAGCTGTTAAGCGTGATATTATTGCTGGTGTCAGATGTGGTGGTTCCAGCATTGCAGAAATAGCCACTGTCCTCGGATTTTTATGCGCTACAATGTCCGGAGTTTACACAGAGGTGGTGTAAAGAACAAAAAACATAGAAAGGCATCTCCAAATACACAACTCATGATGGGGTTTTGGGGACAAAAGTCTAGATATTCTGTATTAGATAATCTGCAGGTAGAAAGGCATGATGTCTCATCTTGAATCTTGCCTCCACTGTGTGTGTGTATGTGTGTGTGGAATTTGCATGTTCACCATCTTGTCAAGTGTGTTTCCTCCCACAGTCCAAAGATGAGCTGTCAGGATAATTGTGTCTCTAAATTACTCAGTGTACCATTGTGGCTGTATCCCAGCTCTGTCCCCTCCTCAGCCTTAGCTAGGTGCCAGGTCTGGTACCCTGACAATTGGCTGGTAGAAAGATGACTTAAAGTAATCACTATTTACGGTAGTGTTGTGCATCTAAAAAGTGTAACTTTTATACATTTCAATACTATTTAAAATATCAGTAACAATAGAAGGATAACACTACTAACAATTTAGCATATTACAATATGATCATATTTTATTATTAACTGATATTGTTATAGTACGAATATTAATGGCTTGAATAATTATCAGCTCTTTAATAAGGCGATGATTTGTATTATTTTTAGCACTAGCTTTTTAAAGGACAATATGTCGAATGATAATTATGAACTTTACAGACTCAGATGTGAGTAATATTTTTTTTCTGAAATATCACAGTAGTATTAAATCTGGTGCTGGGGGGGAGGAACTAACTGAAGATACATTGGACACCATGAAACACGTGATACGCTGTGTCGTCTCTTATTGGTTCATTCATATAAAAATACATCAGTAGCCGACTGGGGGTGTTGTAGCTGTCCAGAGGCCAAGAAATAGATCCCCTTATTCAGTGTAACGGAGATGTTAATAACAAATGTATGGTCAGAAAATCAATCGAGGACTTACACATGATGATACATTTGTTGGTCAGGTTTTATTACTTTGCCACGTAAATGTAAGACGATGACGCGCGTTTCGGCGGCGGAGGAATACGGCACGGCCGTGTGGCGCGTAGTTTGAGTCGCACTGCTGCGCTCGGCGGCTCGGCTTGGTCTCCTGTATTGTTTGTTATATGTATAGTTACGGGGGTCCGCCCTATATATCCATTTTTACTGGCCCTCGACGTTTTATTGTTTTACTTTTTTATTTATTGATAACGACTTCGCTCGCAGGTAAGATCCTTTCCTTAAAGAGGTAATGTGTTTAGCTTGTTGCGTGGTTTACTTTAGCCAGTCCGACTTGTTCTGTTAACTGGTTTAATAATAACATCATTAACATGTCTCGTGTAAAGTAGTAATTTAGTGTCCGTGTGTAAAGTTTTAGATGAGATTACTGTAGCGTCCTGTCGGTATGTCGGCCCGGCGGCAGTCCTCCGGCATGGGCAGCTTAGCATGTTAGCTAGGTGTCCGGCTCTATTTACAGCGTTGGCAAGAGCTATGGGGGCTGTTATTGTAAGCTGTCAGTCTCAATCGATAAAGTGACCAGTATGCTGTGGGTTGCGTCTGTCTGTCTCCTGGTGTCCGAGAAGCTAACTCTAGGTGGCTTTTGAGGTCTCCTGTGACTGTGTGGCTTCGGGTTGGCAGTAAAAACGCTTTGTTTCGTAGTCCAGTTTGAGAGGCGGCCGGCATGGAGGACGTCGACGTGCTAGGGCAGGCGATGGCTGGGTCACCCGAGAAGAACCCACCGCTGGATTTTTCACGGGTCACCCCCTCCCTGTTTGGCATTTCCACAGAAAGCTTCATCCCTTCTAGTCGAAAGAAAGGTGAGAGTGCTTCTCAAGGTTTTGACATGGCACGAAACTAACAGCTCTTGGTTTGAGAGCAGCAGCCCTTTCTGGAAAGATACTGGAGTTTACAGCTGCTGCTGTGTGTCTGAACGATGATACTGTGAGGTGGTGTGTGGGAAGTGGGTGTTGAGTTAATAAATAATCCTGCAGTGTGCTGCACCCATAAGGGCCTCTCTGTGTTATGGTTCAGGTTAGACTCACCACGGTGCTTTTATTGGGTTGTTTTATATGGTTGCTGTGAAGGGATGGGGAAAAAAGGACCAAAAACACTAAGCAGAAGGGCCACAGGGGGCAGCTGTCCTTGACTTCATTCAGCAGCATCAAACTTTATGCATTGAATGTATCGCCATGAACCTGTAGGCAGTGGCTGCCTCCTGTGATGCTTTTGCTTTTATTGATTTCTGAAGTCGTCTTTTCTCCATTTCTTTAGATAAGTCCCGATTATCACAGCTGAAAGCACGACGCAGATCCACCATCGGTGTGCGAGGGTCTCCCGAAACCAACTCGCTGATCCGCTACATAGCCCAGCAGAAATGCCGGACGCCCCCAGTAAGACCTGCGTCTCTGGTCTGCGTGCTCCCACAGACGTATGATGTGGTGTCTTGGTACAGCAGGGCTGCCCCGGTGCCTTTCAGCCTGTGGCCCTGTCATTTCTGCCTTTCTCTAGAGTCTCCCACCCAGCCCCTTCATTGGCCATGGCTTCTCCTCTCTGAGGCAGAAAATGGCATCCTTCCAGAGCCTGCTGGAAATAGATGAGGTTCCGAAAGCAGAGTTGCTGCCAGCAGTGGAGTGGACAGAGGTCTCCAGTAAGAGTCGGGCTTCTGGGCTTGTCGCCGTTGCTTTGGTCCTTAGTCATAAACATAAAGCCTTGTGTGTCCCCATTACCCAATATGCCATGACTACACTAAGATGCCTTTTTTTGTTTACTACTATTGGATTTTACCTCGGCACCATCTAGAAGGCTTCTAATTAAAGTTGCATGAAACTTGCAGATGAGAGCAGTGCTGTGACTGCAAAGGAGAACATGGACCCCCATGGCTGCCTGGTTTTGGCTACGCCTCCCTCATATAAGAAGCCCCGCATGGAGTGTGTGCAAGTCAGCCCCCACTTCCCAATGTTCAGCTCGCTGCCTGTGCCCGGCGCCCCAGTGCAGCATCCGGGGGTAAATGAGGGGGACAGCCTTTCAGGACATCCACCTTTTCGTATCTTCGCCCGTGTTGTGGTTTTTGTGCACCACAATGCTGCTGATGTACTCTGAATGACCCGCTCTGCATGCATCCCCCCCATGTCATAGCCCCCGCTGGACGCTGTGGTGCCGGATTGCCCTGAGCTGGAGTACGCCATATGTGAGTCTCCACTGTCTTGCAGTGCTGCCGATCCTGGAGGCTTCGACCCGAAGCGGCTCCCTCCTGCAGAGGCTCAGCAGGTATCACTGTCTTTACATGGCCTAACCTGTAGGATTCTGCCTGCCTTCTGATGACCTTCATGGTGCGTTTTTCCATACTGCAGGCTCGCTCTGCTGGACCCACATGGCCAGATTCTAATGGTCTTCATAAGCCTGATGAGCCAAGTGCTCCCCGCAATGGCTCCCTGATGTTCCTGTCACCTCCCGCTGATCACTCCACATGTAAGAATGCTGTCGGTGACCTTGCTGTTCCCTCCTTGCATTCTGTATCACGCTTGCCGGTGCTGAGATGCATATGAGCTGAAAACTCTGAGTAATAGTCTGAATGCCAGCCTTCTGTCAGTCTGGGTTGTAAGAGTGTTCTGTACCATGGATCCGGGGTCGATTTCCCACAAGGCCACATTAGCAGTCTGCGCTAAGGAGGCCCACTGAACATGAAACTTGCTTCTGTCTGTTTGGGTAGTGGCTCAGCCCCCTCCCCCCCTCTCTCCACTCTGCGTCTGCTTTCTGCTGGGTGCCTTTGGGGCTGTGGGTGGAAAACAGAGGGTAGCATCGCTATGTGCCTACTGCGGGCTGATGAGTTGTTTTAGCGACATTTCGGTTGGCCCTGTCTGATGATGGCCTTCTGTGTAAGCTGCAGGTGAGGTGACTGCCGCAGCAGATGTTCCGCTGAGCACCAAGAAGCGTGTGCGATTTGGGGTGCCGCTGACCCCGGAGTTATTCGACATGATGTTGCCCCCCAGCACCCCGCTGCAGAGGGGGGGCACGCCCGCTCGCCTGATAGCCTCGGCGGGGCCTCAGCTCCGTTCGCTACTGAAGACGCCGCACAGGTCACCCCAGCATTTCCCTCAGCCGGACTTCGGCAGTCCCTCTGAGACCCGAGAGGCACCAGCTGAGATGCAGTTTGACCAGGCGGAACACAACAGACAGGATGATGAGGTGCAAATACTTACAGGCCCCTATTGGCTGTTTAGGGCCTCAAGCTCCCTGCCTGACTGAGCATGGGGAACTGATTTGGTGCCTGCACTTTTCCAGTGTCCACAGGTGTCCCTGCTGGATGTGACTGAAGACAGCGAATCCACCCTGAGCTCTGCTGGTACGTGCAGCCGGCTGAGTTCTCCTGTTGAGTGCCTGAGATTTTTCCTCTAGCTGTTGCTAACATCCAATATGTAAACTTGATCTGTAAATATACTTCAACAATCAATTTCATTTATTTTTTTTTCGGTGTAACTTTTGCAGAAAACCACCCAATCTCCATATTGTACAGTTCCACATTTTACGAAAGACAGAAGCGTGATGCACTTGTTTGTTGCACTGCCCTCATTCATCCCAGTTTTACTTCCTGCTGGGCATGCCTCCTGTGTCAGTGTTGCAGTCACCTCACGTTCCCGATCCCTCGTGTTTGTTGCAGATGTGGCCCCATCACAGATTGCCTCGTGTCAGCCTCAGTCTGAGATGATCCCCCCTGTGATGCTGCGGGATTCCCTCGCTGGGACTCACCCTGGTGTGACCTTGTCCCCTCCTCACTGGTTGCCTCTTCCTTCACCATCTCTGCAACCCTCAGTCTGACGTCCGAGTTTTTTGTCCGTTTCAGAGTCGGAACCCCCCAGCGCCTTGGAGGAGCCCCCCATTGACACCGCCCCAGCTTGCTCTCGAGGCAGGAAGCGGAAGGTGAGCCAGGTTTCGGCGTGGGTATGGGGGAGGGACCCTGTGACATCCCTCCCCCCCCCCCCCCCCCGGCTTTGTCATAGTGGTGAACTTTGGACCAATGTCAGCTGCTGATTATGTTCTCGCTCGCAGCAGACAAGCAAGAGCCTCACGACCAGGGAAAGGGCGAGTCGTACAGCTGCGGTTTGCGCATCACAGAAGATTAAGGTCAGTGTCTTTCTGTAGGAGCCTGTACAGGGAGGAGCCCGGGTCTGTGATTGGAGAGGAAGTACTAGGGTGACCTTCTCACCGGTGACAGAGTGGGCAGCCAAATGGAGTATAAATACCATCCACAGCTGAAAGTGCTGGAGTTGTATCCTAACTCAAGTTATCTTCTGTCATAGTTCCAGTGAGAATTGGTTTCTGTTGCTTGGAAACCATTTTTATTAGTTCTGCCCAGGAGTCACACGCCTGTAATGCAGAACTGTCACATAAAAAGATTAAGAACACAAGAAATTTACAAAGGAGAGGGGTCCATTCGGCCCATCAAGCTCGTTTGGGGAGAACTTAACTAATAGCTCAGA